ACACAAGAAACTCAAGAAAGTAAAAACTAAACAAATTAAATCAACCCGGAAGAAAAGGGAGGTTATATTCATTTGAAATTTGACACATGCGTCAGGAATGTCAAGATACGTTACCGATACGGATACCGCGAGAGGGCCGTAACGTTACGTTGTACGTACGGTATCTCGGCCTCCGTATCGCTTCTGCACATGCGCAGTACGATACCGATACGGATACCGAGCAAAAAATACGGAAGCTTTATGTCCCTAATTTACTGAGCAACTTTCATTAAGGTCACTTTTTCGTATACGAGGTAATTAGAAAGTTACAGGTATTATACGCGACTTTTTTGCCACTCTGTATATTTAAGTCGTTTTTTTATTATTTCTTATCTGAGCCTGAGGCCCTGATGGATCGCCCCCCCCCCCTAGAAGGAATCCTAAATCCGCCGCTGCAATATGATCTCCAAAAGATAATGATATGTCCATTATAACTCCAAGGTCCTTTATTTTAATAACACTTTCTAAATTGATATTATTGAAATTGTAGTTAAATTGAAATGGTTTTGATATTTTATAAAAGCGTATTATTTTGCATTTGTCAATATTTAAATCTAAACAATTTTGCGAAACATAATGATAAAATCTATCTAGATCTTATTGTACTAATACGCAGTGATTCAAACTTGATATTTCTCTGAAAATTTTCAGGTCATCACAGTAAAAAAGAACTTCACAGTTTTTAAAACATTGTAAAATATCATTCAGAAAACAATAAAAGAAGATCGAAGATAAATGCCCTCCCTGTGGAACCCCTGATGTAACATGAATTGTGTCAGAAAGACAGTTGTGCACTCTGACAGTTTGCTTTCGATTAGTAAGAAAACTTTTTATCCAAGAAAGAAGTGTACCATGGATACCCAAGGCTGATAGCTTTTGAATTAAAATATTAATATTCACTCCTTGGAGCCTTGGAGAAGTCTGTGTAAATTACATCTACTTGACACTTCCTCTCCAAAGCTTCCAACACGTAATTTGTAAAAATTGTCAGATTTGTAACTGTTGATCTTCCACTAACAAATCCATGCTGCTGCTCAATTATTGTTTTTGATAGTAGAGGACTTATTTTTGATGCTAGATAGATTCAAAAGTTTTTGCGAAAATATTAATTTGGCTTATTGGTCTATAGTCTATAGTTTTCCACTTTTGCCTTGTTGCCACCCTTGAAAATGGGTTTGACAAAGGATTCTTTCCATTTATCAGGAAAAATTCCTGTCGAAAGAGAAATCATAAAAATTTTCTGCAAAATTTGAGATAAAATGAATCTATTTTTATAAATGAATATAGGTGAAATATTATCCGGTCCACATGAGAGTTTTAAGTTCAAATTCTCAATCACCTTAAGTACTTCAGTTAATGTTATGTTACAGGAGCTTATGTCAACGCTTCTTTCAAAATAAGGGTCTTCAGCAAGTATAAAATTTGATTTACTGTATACAGAAAAAAAAGTACTCTTTGAAAAGGTTTGGGATCTCTTTAATGGTATCTGATGACTGGTTGTTGAATTGCATAAAATTTGGAATGTCATGACTATTTCTCTTATTATTTACATATGTCCAGAACTCTTTTTTGTTGCCAATGGTACTTTCCAAGTTTTCAATGTATTGGCTATGACATGTAGAAAGTAGGATTTTACATTCTCTACGTAATTGAGAGAAAGAGTTGTAGTCTTGGTCACCTGGACATTTTAAATTTTTTATGTGCTTGTTTTTTGTTAAAAATAACTTGTTTTATTTCATTTGAATACCATTTAGGAAAAATTTTGTTCTTGCATCTACGTTCAGGTACATATAATTCTACGGCAAAATTTAAAATATTGTAGAATGTTTCAACGGACTTATTTACATCAGACTTATTTAATATTGCATTCCAATCAAAACTACCTATAAATTCATTAACTAATATATAGTCTACATTATTAAAATCTCTATAACAATAATTATATTCTAAAAATTGACAATTATTACATGTTACATTAAAGACTAACGCAGGATGAAATCTATCACAGTTAACAATAGGAACATCGGCAATATTTACAATTGAGTTGGTTGAGTTTGTAAAAATTAAATCTAAAAGGTTACCTACACAGTTAGGAATTGAGTTGATCTGAGAAAAATTCAGCAATGCGTACAGATCTGCTATGTTCTGCTTTTTCGTGATATTTCCAATTGGTCTATACTTCCATATTCGTCATTTATCCATTGTAAATTGGGCAAATTGAAGTCTTCACATAAGAATGATGTTTCAAAAATATGGTTCTGATATATTTCTTCAATGGATGTCACATAGTCCATATACACATCCTCAGTAGAACTGGGTGGCAGATATGTGCATCCAAATAAGATCTTACTTTTGTTTATTATAACTTGTACAAAGATACTTTCAATATTCGTGATGTTTGATTCAATTTTTGATGAAGGAATGGACTTTTTAATAGCTATTAATGATCCACCTTTAACTGTAGCTTTGTTTGTAACAATACTTCTATTTGTGCGGTAAATGTTGTATCCTTGTATATCAAGTTCATTATCATGTATATCAGAATTCAAAGATGTCTCAGTAATTAAGATTATGTCATAGTCTTCGATATTAACTGAAGCTGAAAAATCCATATGGTCCATAATAGTCACTAAACCACAGCTGAAATTGAAATATGCTTTTGAATAAAACTGAAGTCTCACTTTTTTCTCTTTTTTTTTTGAAGGAAGCTGTCAAAGAAAAAAAGGAAGGATTGGAATAATAATTATTGAATTGTACTCTGGCTTTATTAAAAAATCTTATAAAAGTTTCACATTTTTTTTTTTCTACGAGCGTGCGGAAAAGCCTAGGGAAAAGTGTAAGTGTAGTGTAACTAACTCGTGCGGAAACTCTCTTTAGCGGAGTTTGGCAAGCAATCAAGTGGCACTTTCCGCACTAGTTAGGAAATAATGGAAATATACTGTTTTAATATCGCACGTTTTGACACACAGTGTCTTCTTCAGGTGAATATCGCACTGATTCATTATGTTCCTAGGACTGTAAAGATTAAAGAAAATAGTTATTTATGCAACAAGTGTGTAAAGTGAACCTTTTATTTTCACGAATGTGAATTTTGACATGAGTGGAAAAAGGTGCTTTACGCACGTATTGCATACAAAAGTTTTTCTACTACCATTCAAAAATTTGTGAAAAAATAGATTTAGACAAGTACTTTACACACTAGTGCCTGAAGTATTTCAACTTTACGCACTAGTGTGTGAAGTAATTTACCAGAAAAATACTAAATTGACAGTCTCGTCATTGACATTACTTTACGCACTAGTGTGTGAAGTAATTTACCAGAAAAATACTAAATTGACAGTCTCGTCATTGACATTACTTTACGCACTAGTGTGTGAAGTAATTCACTTCACACACTAGTGCGTAAAGTAATGTCAATGACAGATGTTGACACTGTCAATTTAGTATTCTTCTGGTAAATTACTTCACACACTAGTGCGTAAAGTGAAAATACTTCAAGCACTAGTGCGTAAAGTATTTGTCTAAATCTATTCTGTTACTGTTACACATATTTTATTGGTAGTAGAAAAAATGTTGTATGCAATACGTGCGTAGAGCACCTTTTTTCACTAAAGTGATTGTCAAAATTCACATTCGTGAAAAATGGTTCACTTTACACACTTGTTGCATAAATAACTATTTTATATACGTGGTAGTTTCTTCGGTTTTTTTTTTGTTTTTTTCGCTAGGGGTAGCAGTGCAATATGTTCCGAGTTGATTTGAAAAAAGAATGTCAAATCGATATTAGGTCAATCGGAACACATGTTATTGCTCCGGACCAGAGTCGCTTTCCAGTGACGTACTTTGTACTCTAGAGCGCCCCGTTGGTGCATCAAAAACACGACGCCTAAAGTAGGGTGCGTTCCAGCGACACAACAGTTGTTTGGAGCACCAGAGACTTTGACCAGAGTGTGAAACTTCGGGTGTGGAGCACCTTAAAATTCGTCAATGGAAAGCAGCTATGGACGCAATATAAGTGAGCAGACACATCAATATCTGACTTTATTATTATTTTATTTATGCTCGTAGTGTACGGATGTTTACTATTTATGGGATAATACAAATAGGTACTATAAGATAGGATAAAATGTTACATCATTTAGGATTTTTTAGCGATTAACCGTTTGTAACTGTGTTATAAACGGTAACTGAAAGTACATGATATTTTCAATTACCGTTTATAACACGGTTACAAATGGTTAGTCTCTAGAAAATCCTTATTAGTTATTATTATAATAGGTATTTTCCGGGCACAAAATTTAAACAGGGAAACGGCTAAAGTATGCCTTTGCAAGCGACACGTTCTTTAATCTTCTTCGCATTAGTTGTATTCCTTTCAAGAGTTTGAAACACTAGATCTACTCGCTCCGGTGCTAATCGACCTCGATTTTGAAGGAACAGATGCGCTATCTTTCGTGCAATTTGGTTTGATTCGGCAACTTTCGAAAGGAATTGGCGCCCCGGAGCTCCTCCTAGATGTGAAAGGAATACAACGAATTTTATGCGGTCACTAAAAAAAAATCAACTCTATTAAACGATTCAGCATGTTTCAGTGTGCAGTAAAATGTCAAACCGAATGTGACAAACAAAAACGGAACGTGCCGTGCGCACTGTGCAGTCAAATCGAAATCGCCTTTGGCTGTTTTTTGGAATGGAATCGTAGGGATATTTCAATCAGTTCATTGTTTCAATCTCATAAGTTGTATTCCTTTCAAGAGCTTGAAACACTCGAGCTACTCGCTCCGGTGCTTAGTCGCCCCCGATTTGCAGGGAACAGATGCGTAGTGCAACAAACACTTTTCGAAAGGAATAAGCGCGTGAAGCGCCGGAGCTGTTCCGGAGCTCTTCCTAGGTGTGAAAGGAATACAACTATATTTCGTCTTTGTCGTTTATTGTCCATTAGACAAAGACGAAATAATTGTTGATTCATGAAATTTGTTTTTGTTGACAAGTGACAGGATATCCTAACCTTAAATTAAATTCGAATTTTTGATTGACATTTTAAAAATTTCAAGAAAATTTAATAATTTTCACGTTTCCATTACAAATTCCCGAACAAATTAGGTAAGATTGGATTTATCAGCAGTTTTCCACTATCAGGCACGTTGCCTCATCAAACGAAATGCAAAAATTGGAATAAAAAGTAAAAGTGTTATCGGTTTATCATTCAAAATGGCGATAATAACAAATGTAGAAGGAGTAGCACATTATTTTTTTTAGAATTTTCCTTTTCCATCTAGATATTTAGGGTAGTAATAGTAAAAAATATAATGAAAGAATTTTTCCTTGCTATTTTATCTTTCCTAGCCGCAGTTGTGTTTGTGTTACTTTTTGTGGCCTTAGGTAAGGCGAGTTTTTCAATTTTTGGGTTTAATTACACACATCATCTTTTGCTCTTTGTTCTTGTTCTAGTGTTCTAATATAGGCTAAATTCTGATTTTTCTCTTCTTATTCCAGGTTGGTATATTTTGTGGGTTCTCGTTTTGCGAAGATTCAAGTTCATTAGGGATCTATTGAACAGTGCAATTGGTGCTAAGGATCCATTGTCAGCAAACCAACTTAACCAACCCCCCAAATCAAGTCAAGGTAAACCTAAGAAGATTCGAAAAGACTGAATTCTTGACTGAAGAAAAACCCTAGGTAAGAGTCTGAAAGTAGAAAATTTAAGACTTAAATTTTTGCAACAGTTGATTGAAGTCTGTTCTCAAATTGTTAATGTTTTGCAATAATTATACCATACTAGTTAGGTTAGTATATTTTTGCTTCTTCAGGACACTACAACTGAATAGAAAAAACTAATTTCATAATAATATAATAAAACAAAAATCGTTGTTTGCTCGAGTAGGTACCTGCAAGTTTTAGGTGTAATGGAATTATCACATTTATTTATTTATCTATTCGTTTATTCAAAGTATCAACAGCAGAGCCAATTACAGTGATACTGACTTAATAATGATACAATGATACAGCCTCGGATACAGCTAAAATACATTAAAACCTAACTTTAGCCAAACTAATTATAGATCAGGGAACACTAGAGACCATATTACACTGCCATCGAGACTGCCATATTGAAAGATGGGTACATGGAGACTGTCGAAGAGAGATAAACTAGTGTCAATTCTAAAGCATTTTGTGTTTCTTGTAATTTTTTTTTTTTTTTTTTTACGGATATGCGCACTCGTAAGGAAATGTCCTATCACGCTCGAGAAGCGGCAAGTGCGCGGAAATGTCGGTGTATGTTGGTCTTGAAACGGTTCAGGTTTTAACCTGCAGGGAAAACCGTCGCAGGGAGTTTATTCCACAGCGATGCTGTTCTCCAGAGATATGAATTCTGATATAATGAGGTTCTTGGTGCCTCTAGTTTGACAGTAAATTCATGGTTACCGTCTGTTTGACGGGTTCGCCTGGTAGGCGCTACTCTCGGTGGAATCATACGTGCCAACTCTTCAGAGCATTTTCCGTGATAGTACCTGTAGAAGAGAGATAAATCGCCCACAGATCTGCGATGTTCAAGACCATCCAAGTTACGAGTAAGTGCGGGGTCATTGATCAGCTTGATAGCTCGTTTTTGCACGGTATTCAAAAGCATTAAGGTATGTTTGGGTGCTGCACTCCATATATGTGAGCAGTACTCCATAGTTGGTCGAATCTGGGCTTTGTAGAGTGTCAGCAATTGGCTTGGTGTGTACAGATGTCTTGTACGAAATAGCACCCCCAGCTTTTGGGACGCCCTTTTAGCAATATCTGCCACGTGACTGTGCCAAGACATGTTGGTCTCTGCAGTAACCCCCAAGATGTTTAACTGACTCTGTAATGTGACAGCACTTCCAGATAGCATGATGTTTGGCTCACAGGTGCTGGTCTTTTTTGAAAACAGAGCTGCTTAAACTTCCTGAGCACTAGAAATTTTTGACAGAATAGGTATGCCCTGAGAAACACAAAGCAATATCAAAAATGTAACTCAAAAACCTAACCGTGTTTATGTATTCCAATAGGCATGATGACAGTAATTGAAAATCAGTTAAATTATGTTTTTATTTGATGAAACTTGTCTCATGAAATACGAAACAGGCATTTATTTTCTTATTAAGAACCAGATTGATAATTATTTTGATAAAATAAAACTACAAAATACGGAGGTCCGCCATATTATGTTAAACACCAATCAGCACGAATGACGTCACTTTTGAGTAAACTAGCACAAACGACTGGTTTTCCGTGATTCTTGTGATTCTATTTGCGGTTCAATTTTGTATATACCGTGTGTTGTTTATACCGAATATTGAATCAAAAGTGAAATAACGTCATGGCACAAGGATTTACGGTAAACAGTGTTAATTTATGTTGATGCTGGGAGAGTTTTCACCGAGGTTTTCACCATCAAATAAGGACTTTTGTTCAGCAGAAAAGAATCAAGAAATGGTAAAACTTCCATCATGTTGTGGTACAAAGATTGGGAAAATATCAACAAAATCGTTGTAGACCCATAAAAGTTGTGTTTGATAATGCTAATGATGCAAAAGAAGTTCTAAGAAGTAGGAAGAACTTAACAAATATTAGAATGTTTGGGGATCAAACGAAAAAACAACAATTATATTTCAAATCGGTACAGAAAAGTGGTGATAACTCTCAAACAATTAAGTTTGTAAATTCTGTTCCCACCATAGTAAAGAAAACAAATGATCAAAATCTACCAAACAATAGAAAAAACTAATGGATCCTAATATGCATCAAATTGTCCAAAAGGGTAAGCATCAGTTTATTTCCATCAACCAAGATATTATTTATCTCAACATTGAAAGCCTTTATGCGCATAAAGTACAGTTAATCACAAATGTTTTTTGCTATAGTCCGCTTATTGTTATACTGAGTGAGACAAGAATTACTGAGGAGTTTCAAGATTCAGAATTATCAATAGATAACTACAATACTGTTCGTTGTGACAGTTCAACAAGACACACTGGTGGAGTCATAATCTACATTCGAAATGATATTGAATTTAAAGTGAAAGAGTCATTGGTGCATGATATGAATTTTTGGATTCAATTTGTTGAAGTTAAAGTAAGTGGAAAGAAGTGGCTCATAGGCGGGCTGTACCATTCACCAAATGCAAGTCATCCCCTGTTTTTGGAATGTTTTGATGAAATACTTGATAAATATTTTAATGGAAAAAAATGTATTTTGGTTGGTGATGTAAATATTGACTTTAGTAATAATGATGTAGTCCCCAGTACATCGACCCTAAAATTTTGTAACTCATGTACACGCCAAACTTTCTGAGCGGCTTCATAACACCAAGTCGGACAATATTTTTCATGTCTCCACCCCGGGCGATGGGACATTTTCGCGCTAGCTCTTCGTGAAGTTGTCGTTCTGACGTCCCTAAGGAAGTTGATACATGTACATGTAGTTTTAATGCCAATCGACTGTTTTTGACATTATATTAACGATATCACATTTGTCGGACAAAAACCATGTGGCTTTGGGGAAGGTCCGACGCTCTCAACATGTGGCTGTGGCGTCCCCGAGGAAGTTGATACATGTACGTGTGGTTTTGATGCCAATCGACTGTTTTTTATGTTACATTATTGATATCACATATGTCGGACAAAAATCACGTGGCTTTGGGTGGATCCGACGCCCCCAACATGTCGCTGTGGCGCCCCTAAGGAAATTGATACATGTATGTCCGACAAAAATAATTATGAGTAACAATGTAATTTTAAAACATGTGTAGTAAATGTCGGACAAAAAGAATGAGTATTAAAGTCAGTCGGACAACAAAAGTCCTTTTGATCAATTTCTGCCGAAATTCAGGATCTCTACTCCTGAGATCGCACAAAAAACACGACAGAATATCCATTCTTTTTCAAACGCGTGGTTTTCAACGACCGTTCACTAAATCATTCCCGTAAATACTCGGAGAATTATCCAAAAAAAACAGATCAGCGAATATGACACAGGTCCCCACAGGTATTTGACAAAGTAGGTAAATAATAAATTGACTAATATGCACATTGCTTAAAGGCAAACTAATTTTAATTTTTTCATTGATTGTCTCAAATTTCTTGTCCGACAAATGTGATATCGGTAATGTAATGTAAAAAGCCGTCGATTGGTATTAAAAACACACGTACATGTATCAACTTTCTCAGGGACGCCACAGCGACATGTTGAGAGCGTCGGACCCCTCCAAAGCCACGTGATTTTTGTCCGACATATATGATATCGTTAATGTAATACAAAAAATAATCGATTGGCATTAAAACTACACGTACATGTACCAACTTCCTTAGGGACGCCACAGCGACATGTTGGGGGTGTCGGACCTTCCCCAAAGCCACATGGTTTTTGTCCGACAAATGTGATATCGTTAATATAATGTCAAAAACAGTCGATTGGCATTAAAACTACACGTACATGTATCAACTTCCTTAGGGACGTCAGAACGACAACTTCACAAAGAGCTAGCGCGGCAATGTCCCATCGCCCAAGGTGGAGATATGAAAAATATTGTCCGACTTGGTGTTAGGAAGCCGCTCAGGAAGTTTGGCGTGTACATGAGTTACAAAATTTTTAGGTCGATGTACTGGGGACTAATGGTTTTTATACAAGAAAAATTAAAAATATGTTAGATTCATGTGGCGTTGATCAATTGATATCAACCTATACCAGATTAACAAAGGACTCAAGAACTTTAATTGATTATGTTGTAAGTAATTTCGAGAATGTTAATGCGGAAGAAGTTGATTTGCCAAAGATAACTGATCACTCATTGATTTCAATAAATCTTTTCAATTGCTTGAAACCTAGAATAGATAAATATATGTATGTCCGACGGTTGAATGATAAGACTTTTCGGGAAATTAATTCACGATTGTTGTCTTTGAATTGGAATTTAAATACTGCAGATGTAAATATTGTTGTGAGAGAAATTTTGGAAAATTGTACGTTTGTTGTTGATCAGGTTGCACCATTGAAAAAAATTAAATGTAATTCAAATCAGGTACCATATTATGATGATGTTCTAAAAAATTTGTCCAAAGAAAAAGATCGAGCGTATAAACAATTTAGATCCAGCAATATGCAAGAAAGGGATCATAAATGGGAGCAGTATAAAATCTGTCGTAATAGATATGCAAACTCTCTTAAGAATAAAGAAAAGCTTTATTTTGAAAATAAAATTGACAAAAATAAGCAAAATCCAAAAGAAATGTGGAAATACTTGAAACAACTAAGTAATTAATCCATCAAAAAACCAAATATTTAACAAAATAGAATTTTTTGTTGATAATCAGAAAAAAATTGAAACAGATCCAATGGTAATTGCAAATTCTTTCAATCAGTACTTTATTACTAGCATTGTTGACATTTCTATGAGTATTTCCACAGCCCAACAGTGGTCTCCAGCTGGTTATGAACCAGTTTTGTGTGGCTTAGCTAGCTTTAGAGAAATAACATTTTCTGAACTGAAAAAAATTATTTTTTCTTTGGATAAAAATAATAAGGGTGAAACAATAAGCAGCGAATTTCTTAAGCAGTCTTTGTATTCTATAGGTCATGTCATTTTGAATTTTATTAATGCATCAATAAAGTCTGGTATATTTCCAGATCAGCTCAAGACCAGTAGAATTACG